GGGCGGGGCCATGACAGCAGCTCATGGGCTTCCGTGCTGGGCATCCACCGCAGCCTCCATCTGCTGCGGCTCCAGCTCGTCCCTCCCCATGGGGAGAAGCCCATCTCGTTACGGCGTCAAAGTCTGAACACTGGTGCGAGGTTCCTGCTCGCACCCTCTGTCAGGCGGAACAGAAAAATCAATCTTGTTTACAAACTTGATGGGACCTGAGCACTAAACCCAGCACGTCCCGCCACCATACCTCGGATTTAAAGGTGAGCCTGACAGTCACATAAATTTGACATCTTGCATTAGGAAACTGAACGTTTTCAACTACAAACATCTTCCAGGTTGTCTCTCTCTGTTTTCTAATCACAAGAAGAAGTTTATGGACGTTTCTGTCAGAAGATATGCTGGTTAGTAACTGCACAGAACTCCTCCGCTTGCATTTCCCAGGAACACGGGCACGCCAGCCCTGCGCCAGCACGTCCCACGAGGAGCCTGGGCGCAGCTCGGCCGGGGGCCTTACTTGTTAATTTTGTTCCTCGGTTGTCTGAACCTTACGCTTGACAAGAACAAAAGTGCCCCAGCACACGCGATGCGTCATGTGTGCACCTCCGTTTCTTTTCTCAGATAAACTCCCACTCCCTTGCACCTCATCCCACCAGTGTTTTTCTGGTCCCCAGCTGGTTTACGTGTCCCTGTTATTTCACAGTGCTCGTTTTTGCAGGGGGGAAGGGGCAGCTCTCAAGAGATCAGGCCATCAATTTATAGAATGAAATTCTCTTTTTTGTACACTATTTTCTATCCTATTCCTTGTCCTCTGGTACTACTGCAACTTAATTATTAAATAATAAAATTCAATAATACATTCTCCTAGAGCCAAAGAGAAGCAGCTGGATAGGTCAGACAGATTAATTGCCTCTCTCTGGCTCCATCATCGCTGCCCACACAAGCTACTCCCTGATCACCCGGCGTGCCTGATCCATTGCACTGACAGAGAGCGCACGTGTTCCCTCCTTGATCTAACGCTGTATGCACACACGATCTAACTAGTAGCAGAACAAGCCACATTGATTTGTGCTGCAGCTTGGCAGATTACCCGGCATGACACACCCACGGGAAGGGTTTCTCTTTACCAACTCATCTGCTGTAGCTCCTCGGACAAGAGCAGACAGCTCTATCCAGAGGAGAAGGCAAGGTCCTCTGTCACGCTCAGCCGGTGCCATAGGGAAAGCAGGGGCAATTGAGGATGCAGCATTGAAAAACCACATGGTTTTCTACTCAGCTGGTGTGGGACAGCTTTAGCTTTCCCTCCCCAGCAGTTCAGACATCTCCACCTCACAGCACCACGAAGCCTGCCAACTAGGTGTTTCCAAGCGCAGCTCTTGGGCATAACCTTCCTCTCCAGGCAGGGACTCGGAGTCACAGCTCCAAGGATGCTGAAGCTGCTCCTTCACCAGCAACGAGCTCAACATTTTCTAAGCTGCAGCGAGCCAAGTGCACAAGTTTTGGCCTAAAAATTGGCAGAAGAGTTCCCCAGCTGAAATCCTGATTAATCAGCAAAAGGGCATCAGAGTTTGCGCAGCTTTATCTTGTTAATCAAAGAACAGTGATTACAAGTGACTCGCTATGTGCATCAAGTAGGACAGCCTGACGGGAGGACACAGCCTCTGTAAGCTCCGGGGTTGATCGTAGTCACTGTTCAAGCGAAGCATGGCCAAGATTTTACATGCAGCAGTAAAATGAAGTTATTCATCCCCCTGGCAGTATTTACCAGCTGGTCAGCAGCCTTTTACATTGT